CCCCAAAACCCCAAAACCCCAAAACCCCGTATGGAAAAGTTATGAAAATATCAAATTTTGTGTTTTTTTAATATACATTTGAATTGTTTTGTAATTTTATATTAAAAATTAATTATCAATAAGTACCACTAATTAATTCTAAAATAATTTGAAATAAAGAGATATTGCTTGATATTGTGTAAACTCATAATGAAAGCCTAACCATAACTGGATAAATTATAAATAACTTCTCATTTTCATCAGGCCCTAAATCATTTATTTCTAGAAATGATTGCTTCCATATATATGATAAATATTTATATATATGTTAAACTATAATTCTAATTTCTTTAATGGAACACTTAAATATAGTCAGCATATGAAGTAATCATCTTACAATTTTTAGTATAGAATACCTTATCTAATGTCTCCCCTCCCCATTTAAAGTACAATATTCTAAGAAATTGAAGTTATTGAGTGATATAGACTAGTTTTAGCCTTTAGCCATTATAATGTTTAAAAGAATTTCATTAATGGTTTTACTATATTGAAATTAACTTATATATAGAATCAAGCCAAAACATTATAATCACTTGATAAATGCTCTGTCTTTTTTCATACAAGCAATATGATGAAAAGAATAAAGCTATATATACTCTTTTGATCTTCAAAGACAAACTGACTACTATTTACACGGTAATATGAATAATTTCTAAACAAAATCGTTGCTGCATCTGTTCTAGAAACAATGACCTTATCTTTATCATTAATACTAGAATGCACTACGATATTTAGCAAAATCTAATTCAAAGACTAGACTAATTTTAACAATTCATTGGTAGTATTATAGTCTATCAAAGTATCAAAGCATGGCTGAAATAAAAGAAGTTGGAGAAAGTATGAGAATTAATAGAAGAATTCTTTATGTTAATGATTTAATTGCTCCAGCAGTCCAGGTTTTGTTGATATCAAGACCTATAAATTGTGGTTTGAGATTAATTAGATAATTTAATTTAACCTTTAATTTTGAAGGCACACGTAATATTGCGAATTTTTGAAAATGATGAAAACACTTGACCTCACTGTTAAAGTCTCTCAAGAAAAGAGAGAACAGTACATTTAAGCATTTGAAGAATCATACAACTTATATGAGATTCTTTTTTCAATGGTAAAAGATGAAGGACTGTTTATACAATCAGACCCATTAAGACACCCATTGATCTTTTATCTCGCTCACACATCTGTTTTTTACATTAACAAGTTTATTACTGCTGGCATTATCGACCACAGTGAAAGAATAAACCCAGCATTTGAGTCTAAATTTGCAGTCGGAGTAGATGAGATGTCATGGTAAGACTTTAAATTCTTAAAATCTATAGGGACGATAAATTGGAGCCAAGAGAATGGCCAACAGCTTAGGAAATTCGTAATTATAGAGAACAAGTTAGAAACCTAGTTATTAGGAAAATTAAAGAAATATGTTTGGAAGATAACTCTGTTATTGATCAAACTCATCCTTTCTGGATCCTTAGTATGGGTATTGAGCATGAAAAGATACATTTTGAGACTACTAGCGTCCTTATAAGATAGCTTCCACTTATATATATTAAAAAAGACTAGCCAGCAGGAGATATTTTCAGAAATATCTGCCCTGAAATCAACAATGATTCGACCATTAATATTGAAATAAATTACGTGTAAATTCCAAAGGGTTCTATTACCCTAGGAAGACCGTCAAAAAGAGAGCATGCAGTATCTGATGAGCACAAGGAAAATTTGGTTAACATTTATGGATGGGACAATGAATTTGGACATCACACTAGCAATGTTGAATCTTTCAAATTACAAGATAAACTTGTGAGCAACGCCTAATATTTAAGATTTGTCAATGAAGATGGATATACTACTTAAGAGTACTGGTCAGAAGAAGGTTGGAGATGGGTAACATCCACTAATAGCTAACACCCCAATTTCTGGTTGAATACAGAGCAAGGTTTTAGACTAAGATTAATGCTTGAGGTCCCAGATTTAATGCCTTGGGACTGGCCTGTTGAAGTTAATTGCTTAGAGGCTAATGCTTACACTCGTTGGCTAAGTAAGAAACTTCAAGCTAAGGTTAGGTTGCCGACAGAAGATGAGTATAACCGTGTTCTTAAGAGATATTAAGCTGAGTTGGATACAACCTAGCAAAATATTGAACTTAAATACGCTTCATCTACTCCAGTTAATTCACACAAAGTTGGGGATGTTTATGATTTAATGGGAAACGTTTGGTAATGGTTAGCAACTCCAATTTACCCTTTTGATGGTTTCAATGTCCATCCAATTTATGATGATTTCACTACTCCTACTTTCGATGACAAGCACAATATCATTAAAGGAGGGTCCTGGATTTCTTGTGGTAACTTGGCAACAATCTATTCCAGATATGCTTTTAGAAGACATTTCCTTCAACATGCAGGTTTCAGAACAGTTATCCCTGACGATTAGGAATCTTGCGACCACTTCTTGGTTGAGTTAAACGACCATGAAAATAAGAATCTGATCATATCCTCAAACTAATAATATGTGAATCCCTATGAATCAGATGATTCCGTAAATCTTTATTGTAATTTCCACTTTGGGGAGAGAATAAACTTTTTTGGTTAATTGCTCCCAAACTTCCCAACCCTGTGTGCTATGGTTTGTGAAAAAGTTATCCAAACTTCTCACTTCTGGTCTTAAAAGAAAGAGCACCCTGAATTGAAGCTTAGAGCTCTTGATTTAGGCTGTGCAGTTGGAAAGACTACCTTCGACTTCTCAAGATTCTTTGATGAGTCCGTCGGAGTGGATTTCTCAGTGAGATTCATTCAAGTAGCTTCTATTCTTATGAAGAATAAATAAATCTTATATAAGATGCCACAAGAAGGTCATATTTACAAATACAAATAAGCATTTTTGAAGGACTTCGATGATTATAAAGTGGAACTTGACTTCATGAATCAATTATTCAACTTCAATGAGAGCAGAGAAAATTTTGACTAGAGACCAACTGATGAAAACATTAAATTCTAATAAGGAGATGCTTGTAATCTCCCTGAGAATCTTGGTTAATTCCATTTAATAATGGGTGCTAATCTCATAGATAGACTCTATAATCCAGAGTAGTTCCTAAAAGACATAGTAAAGTTCATTGTTCCAAGAGGATTCCTTGTCCTCTTTTCCCCATATACATGGCTTTAAGAATACACACCTAAAGAGAAATGGATTGGTGGAAGATAATAAGACGGTGAAAACCTCTATACTAGAGTGAATCTTCAAAAAATATTATCAGATGAATTCGAGCCATATAATTTGAAACTAGACGGAAATGGATATAATGACCCTATATACGGTAAATTCGAAAAAGACTCAGAAGTTAATTGCTTCAGTTTACCCTTCTCAATTCAAGAGACTCTTAGAAAACATTAGTTTACTTATTCTGAATGTACCATTTGGCAGAGGAAAGAATGAAAATCAAATAAGCGAAATCTATTTATATTAAGACATTAATGATCCAAGAATAAAACTTAACTTTTATCTTCTTCTATATTTAGAATAAATTTATAAGAGTGGATATTGCTAAGCGGGGTTTTGGGGTTTTGGGGTTTTGGGGTTTTGGGG